AAATTGCTCACTTTTAGCTGTTGGATTGTTATTGTTGCCTTTGGGCTATTGTGGTTAGCTGCAGGAATGTGATCTATGCCTAGAAGGGTTATGTTCTGCCTACAGGGCTATATGGATGCCTAAAAGGTCTATGAGTTGCCTACAAGGCTATAGTGACGTCTAAGAAGTCTATGTGCTTCATACATGGCTATGTTGTTGCCTAAGAGGGCTATGAGTTGTCTATAAGCTATGTTGATGACTGAGAAAGCTATGTGCTGCCTACGGGTCTATATTAATACCTAAGAGGGATATGTGACTGCCTACGGGGATAGGGGACAATCGATAGGGATATATACACTGATTGGCTCCTTCCGGGCTTATGGGGGCCTGAGTAGGTAGTCTTTTCTACTGTTTGTACCTGCCGAGCTTATGGGGGATTGGTTAGGTTATTGTTTTATTATTTTTGATAAGTTTAGATTTAGGAGTAGGTTAATAGACTTATCTTATCCTTGATTTATTTATCGGATTATTCCAGTATATTAGATTACCTGCTTATAGTCTATTGCCTTTCATACTCTGTACATTATTTTGTACTGACACCCCATTTCCTTGGGGAGCTGCATTCATGCATGCAGGTCCCGACAGACGACCGAGTAGACTTCCTCAGTAGCAGGATTGACTTTTAATCGATTGGCTAACCCCTTTCCTCTGGAGCTGCCAGAGTTTGGAGGTTTGTTAGCTTTTGTTGTATATAATTTTATGGCTAGGCTGGGGCCTGTCCCACCAATCTTTACTACTCTTAGAGGCTTGCAGACTGGTGTGTGGGGTTTATTGCTACGTTATGGCCATGCTGTCCTAGTTTGTTGGTTTGCTGAAGCTTGTTAGTTGTGTGATGCATTGTCTTGTTATATACCTTCTTTCAGTATTGGTATAGAGCTCATGGTGGCCTTGACTGCCCAATTAGGATTTATGTGATAGTTGGCAATTTATTTTTATGAACTCTTGGGTGTAGCTGTTTCTTTTTTAGATCTGTTGACAAGGGTCTTGCCGGCCGAGGGCTTAGTTTTAAGTCGAGATATACTTGTTTGTTTTCTTCATTGCCTGTGGCTACCATGCGCTAGTAGCAAACGGTTCAGCAGGGTCGGCTCGGGCCTGAGTTTTGGCATTAGGAGCCTGTTGCGCCCCTTGAGTTTAGGGAGTGAGAAACTTGGTATCAGAGCAACGTCGTATCCTAGGGTTTCTGCAGGCCATGTCTAGTAGAGTCTTGATTATAAATGTGTTGTGCACCACATTCGATAAGCAAGAAGCTACCGGGCATGTTAGAATTACTATCCTTCTTTTGTCTCTACCTCGTGCTATAGAGCGGTGTCTTAAGGGTTGAGGTTTCTGGATTATAATTGATATTTGTATGCAGATAGAGATGGCTGACACCTGACAGACCACAACTTGCCAGGGTCTAGATACAGCAGCAGGCGAGGGCACTGGCAAGATACCACAGGTGGAGGTAACCCATTGTGATACCCAGGGGGATATATCTTCTCAGCCCCTTATAGCTTCTCCACTGCTTCAGGAGCCTCCGAGGGCTACAGGACCCCCGACTCCACCAACAGTACCACATCTAGTTCCTCTGATTCCATCTAACCAGGATTTCAAGAGTGCAGTATGTATGTTAGCACAGTTAGTAGCTGCACAGCGCCAGCCAGTTGCGCCAGATGTTGCCGGACCTTCTGAAGGTCCCAGAAGTTCGAGAGTTCATGAATCTCTTGCCTTGAATCCTCTACAGTTTACAAGGACAGATCACATAGAGGACCCTCAGCACTTTGTTGATCAGCTTTATAGGATCTTTAGAGTCATGCATGCCTCAACGACTAAGTCAGTTGAGTTAGCAGCATTTTGATTGCGTGATGTTGCAGTATTTTGGTACGAAAGCTAGGAGAGATCTAAGGGAAAAGATGCATCTCTACCCACTTGGGATAGCTTTGCAGAAACTTTCATAGATCACTATTTGCCTTGAGAGATTAGGGATGGACGGGTGGACCAATTTCTGATCCTCAGACAGGGCAGCATGAGTGTCCGAAAGTACGGGCTGAGATTTGATTCATTGGCTAGATATGCACCAGCATTTGTTGATACGATGCATGACAGGGTGTGTAGATTTGTGGAGTGCTTGACTCAGACTATATCGACGCTTGTTCTATTGCTGCACTAAATGATAATATAGATATCTCGGGAATTCAGGCCTTTGCACAAGGCATAGAGGATCGCTGACATCTACAGTATATGACTGAGAGGGTCGATAGAGAGAGACAGAAGAGGGATAGGCCTGCTGGTTCACATGGAGATTTTCAGGGTGGTCCCAGACCTCGATATTCTAGTAGGCCACCTAGACCTCCACCACAACAGTTCCATGGTAGTAGATTTGATCGTCAGGGATAGTCAGGCCCAAGTGAGGGTTCACGAGCATCAGGCTCTCAGTAATAGAGAGGCTCAGGCCAGGCTAGGAAAGCACCACCACATTGCGCTACTTGCGGTAGGATGAATTTTGGGAGGTGCAGGCAAGGCTCCACAGGTTGTTTTTCTTGTGGACCGCAAGGGCCTGGGTGGAGGAACTGCCCGACCATAGGTCAGGGTGGTATAGGTCAGTAGCAGGCTCCTCCTCATTAGCACAGTTTATAGGGCGTGGACCCCATACTTCAGCAGGTAGAGGCAGAGGCAGAGGCAGAGGCAGAGAGGGAGCATCTAGTTCAGGTAGTGGCCAGGACAGTACATATTTACTAGCCGGCCGACAGGTCTCAAAGTCATCACCAGATGTTGTGACAGGTGCATTAATTGTTTGCTCTCATTGTGTTTATGCTTTGATAGATTCTGGATCTACTCTATCTTTTGTTATCCTATTTATTGCGGTGAAGTTATGTATAGTAGTAGATTCATTAAATCGACCCTTTACTGTATCTACACCAGTTGGTGAGTCTATTATTGCCAGGAGAGTTTATTTAGGTTGCACGATAGAAATTATCGACCGTCAGACCTCTGTAGACCTGGTAGAGTTAGAGATGGTTGATTTCGACGTCATTATGGGTATGGACTGGTTAGCGTCTTGTTATGCTAATGTTGAGTGTCAGAAAAATATTGTTAGATTCCACTTTCCAGGAGAGGCAGCTATGGCATGAAAAGGCGATACAGCAACGCCGAAATGTAGGTTTATTTCCTATCTTAAGGCGAGGAGAATAATCACTAAGGGTTGTATTTATCATCTTGTTCGCGTTCACGATATAGATGCAGAATCATCAACTCTTCAGTCTATTCCGATAGTTAATGAGTTTCTAGATGTATTTCCAAATGAGCTCCATGGTATCCCTATAGAACAAGAAATTGATTTTTCTATCGATATGCTACCAGGTACACAACCCATATCTATCCATCTGTATAGAATGGCTCTTGCTGAGCTGAAGGAGTTAAAGGATTAGCTGAAAGACATGTTGTATAAAGGCTTATCAGACCTAGTGCTTCACCATGGGGTACGCTAGAGGATCTCGAGCCCTTGTGTATTTTCAAATGTGCTCGTCTTTAATATTGATTTATCGTGTATAACGATGCAGTCGTATTAATATGCATCTTAGTGACACTTCTACAATGAGCTTGTCCTTCACTTGTAGGTTAATAACTTGATATTTAGTATGCCAAACTATATTACTTTTTTCAATGATTACGTATGCATTGTGATGAAGTGTATGTACCTCTTAGCTAATCTTTGCTTCACAATATTTACGTTTGATGTACTATCAGAATAGTCAATGGACTGATTTCCCTGAGAACATTATGTCAATGGCTAAGAAAGATCTCCAGATAAAGAGATCTGCGATGGAGGTGGTGTTCAATGGCAATAACTATGTGCTAGATTTCTTCCATATGATGCTATTGGACCTGAAGTCAGGTATGCAACAACCTATTGCATAGATTGATGAAGCAGGCAAGTGCTTTTTCCTAGAAGTCTTTGCTTATCTGAAATTCATGTAGTTTTGCTGGTAAAATGGGATGAATGATTGTTGTAGTGCATGCCTCTGCCTATATACTATGCTGATACAGATTTTGAAGAGTAGGACGAGTCTTAAGCCTATTGATTTCATTTTATGTTTAGTCAATTTATAATTTCCCTAGTGTTTGTCATCTATAATAGAGGAATATCAATCAAGTTTGTTAGTTAATGGTTTCTGGTTTTTTCTTTTCGTATGGTACCTGTCCATTTTCCTGTAACGATAATTAGTTTGAATTTTCACAGAAGATCCTACTTGTTGGTATTCCGGTTTTAATAGTAGAATGAATTGTTTTTGGTCCAGTCAATGTCAATGATCTCCCACATTATTCTATCCATTTATTAATTCCATGGTGCTTGTCAAATATACGAGCCTGACTTGTAAAATCTGCAAATAATGACCTGTGTTTATATAGCTGCTACAATCTGCTATAATATAGTGATGTAAATTCTTCAAAGAGTTGACAACACAGCTTTGCTGATCTTTGTCCCATCTTGTACTTCTGTTAGGAAATAATGTGTTTTGTTCGTTTTATTGCTCGTGATCCTTGTTCTCGTTCACATCATTATTCTCAATGTTTAAGTCCATCATCTCCTGTATAGCAAAGTGATTGAACATGTTGTTGTCTCATGTTTGCTACTGTTAACGTCCAAATGTTTTTTTTCCTTCATCTTGTTTAGTTGTTGTTTCACCTGGTTAGTCTCCTCATTGTTTTTCCTTTTTCCTTTCTTCCTTTCCATATGTTTCCAGCCCTCTTCTATTTCACTAGTTAAGGCCTCTAGATCTTTTTTGCAGTTCATATCCATATGCATCGCTTTTTGCTGAAGAAAACTCTGATTATCAGAAAAAGTTTCAGCAGTCATACCTGGATTTTGTGTGGTCTCTTCGATTTTATGCTTGTCATTGTTGTTCTCTTTTTGGGATTCAACTTCTTTAATATTTGCTCTGTTGAAGTTTTGTTTTTAACAGAAGTACAAGATGTAACAATGACTGAATACTATCATGGTTAATAGCTCCAAAGATGTCATTTTAAAAAATAAAAGCTAAGTCATCTGAGATGTTGCTGAGGTCTGTCACTAACAACAACTTGTTTTCCTTTGTCTTGGTGTCTTGGTGTTTGCAGTAGAGTGTCTTGGTGTTGTTGGAGTTGAGTTTCCTCTTTTTCCAT